ACATTTATATTTTTCCCATATCCTCATGATTCTTGGTGACCTACATAGTACATAACCATTATTGCTCTGAGCAGCCATTTCTGTTTTAATTTGCATATTCCCAAAATTCCATTTGCTTAGTATTAAAATCATAATTACATCGATTTACAGCAAACATGGAGTTAACAATAATCCTTTTGCATTTCCATTCACACACCAAAGGCCTTGTGACCTTTTTGCTTAGCTTCAGTGTGTATCATTAATAAGGCGAAGTCACCATCTGTTCCAACGGCAGCAGCTATTGCTCTCTGCTATGAATAGAATCGTTATTAATCTTCTGCTGCTCACCACCGTACATCACATGACTGCGTTCACCATCAGACAGACACTTAGGAGACTGTTGAAGCTGATGGTTGTGATCCTCCTGATAACCTCCTAGTTGAATAAATGTATGTTTTAAAAAAACGTTTTAGTCATTAAAGTCATTAAAACTTCAGCTTGGTGTTTTTTAATAGTTTTTCTGTGTAGAGTAGATTGAGATTTTTGATCTTTGCACCACATATTCCTGTTACTTTAGCATCTTGTGCTGTTTTTTTTATATGTTGCTATTGAACAGCCCCTAAAACAGTTTATTCCTAAACGTCTGTTCACACCAAGTCAAATACTCAAGTTGGCACAGTAAACACTGAATGAATGAATTGAATGAATGGCTGTTAATGTGTCTGTTGAGACTGACACAAACATTCTCATGCCGGCAATGCGACATGGATGTTCTAATGTCTGCCAGCCAATAAGATTTGTCCTTTTCTTCACGTGCCCAGAGCCGCTTGCGGTTACATTAAACTATGTCTTGGTGGTGGTGCTCACGAACAAACTGTTTTGCTAAGTGACCGTGAATAGCAGAGGATGTATCTGTCTCTCTTGTCTCTGTACTCTTGTATTTAGTGTTGTTTGATAAAAACCATAGAGAAACATTAGACCATTAAAACATAGAGAATACAAAAAACGTACCGTTTGAAAACACTTTCTTCTCTGTGACAAGAAGGTGTCAGAAACGAAAAGTTACACAGTGCTTTCATTCATTTCATTCAACCAATCTGCCTTTGTTTACGCATTGATTCACAAAAGTTGGATCAAACATTCTTGTTGGTTTAAACAGGCCTTAGCATTGTGAGAACTTCAAAAAACTGAATTCTGAATGACAGCATGTAAACAAAATACTCCCAAAACAGCCATCACCTGGTCTAGAATACAAATGCAGATTAACTGGAACACAGTGGCGGGCCGTGCATTTTACACCTAGGCCTTCAGTGGCGTCCTACATGAATTAATCCATCTCTTCATACCATCATAATGATGCCACGGCTATAGAAACCATAAATATTACACAGTAATGCAGTATAACAGGGCACTACATAACAGACAGGTATCTTATGTAGCAAGAATTAATGCCATTACTAAAGAAAGAAACCCAATTAACAATTGCTCAACACATCAAAACAACAAAATGACACAAATACAGTCCATCCGATGTTCTTACAGACATTTATTCACCCAAACGCATTTATACCTTACAGATAGCATTGGTATAAAACAAATAAGGTGATTACATGTGTTTTAAAGTTGACCTAACAATTTAATGTTCTCTTACTGCTTTATTTCGTCGTCACGAGTCTCCCCGCCGGTCTGCCAGCGCACTGCGGGAGGAAAATACTGGTTAGCACAGCTTTACTAGGAAAGTGAGCAAGTAACATTAAAATAATTCATACAAGACGATGAAGAAAAGTGTATACATGTGTTTTAACGTACCTCTGTGACTCTCATCTTCCCGCTGGTCTGCCTCTGCCAGCGGTGCTGCGGCCGGAGTAAAAGACCGGTTAATACAGCTCCACTCGGTTAATACAGCTCCAGAAACTGAGATATTCTTACGGAAACTTAAACCTGGCTTTATATCGCGCAAATAACAGCAGCATACAACGCATCAAGCGATAAAAGAGTCAAAAATGAAAATTAACCTACCATACTCTAGTGGTTTTTCATCTTCACGAGTCTTTCACAGAGCCGGTGCCGAGGAGGCGTGTGGTTGTTTTTCGCAGTCATTAGGACTACTGTTTTTAGATTGACTAAATATAGTAGGCAAATATTTTTTCAAAATGCACTGAAAATCTAAACCTGAGAAACAGTAATAAAAGTTTTACAAAATAATGATCTTTAAAAAAGCATCATATGACCCCTTTAAAAACTAAATCAGTGATTCTGATAGTGTTTAGGCCAGCAGAGAAGGCTTTGCTGGCCCTGACGGCCCACCACTGCTGGAGCATAATTTGAGCTACTTTTATGATGCTGTTGATTTTATTGATGATTTGGCATGTTTCTGAATGCAAGTTTTGCCATTCTTTCCATAATCAAGTTCATAAAAACTGTACTTATATGACTAGAAAACAGCTGCCCCCTTATTTTAGCAAAATGGCTGCCAAGTGAACCAGAAGGAGAAACTACAGAGAGAATGTCACGCACCACACAAAGCTGAACCAGAGATAAATGCTGAATGATAAAAAAAAAATTCTCCCTGCGGCTAGACAGATGTACGTTGATGGCTCATCTTTGTGGAAAACTGTAATTGCTACAACTAATGTTTAATTTGCTCTCCTTCTAATGGATCTTGTCATTTAGGGGAAGCTATAAGCTAATGAGTGCCGCTATTAGTGCATATTATACAGGTCTGCATTATCAGTCTCTTCTCCCACTGACTGTTCAGAGCTGAATGCAGTTCAGAATAATATATATATATAACATAATGCATCTTGCTGTTCTTTTTTTTTTTCTTCAGCATTATATGGTACTTTTAAACCCTCAGTTAACAAGCAGAGGGAAACTGTATTGTTCAGTTTGCTCTTTCATAACTCAGGAGACTTATTGGATATATATTTTATGTTATGTTTCTCCTAAAATTCCTTAGGGTACATACAAGAAACAAATGAGACTATTAGCTTTAAAATCAATGTGTATAAACACAGCTCAGACAATTTGCTCTTTGTTTGATTTCATATCGAAATCTCTGGTTTTCGTTTCCATACTTGGGTTTCTTGCAATCCATTTGTTTTTAGTCTCTGTTCACTCCCCATTTTTTGGTTTTATTGTTTTCATTTGTGAGTTTTATTTCCTGTACAAGTCCACAATATTGTCCTTTTTTTGAGAGAGAGAGAGAGAGATATTATCAGAAATTCTCTGCCTTTTGAATCACGAGCCTCATAAGTTTTATTGATCTTTTTGACATGATTTTTTGATGGAAATGAGATGAGATATTTTCTCTGGTGCTGCATGCTGATTGTGTTTCAGTCTGGTTAGCATAGAGAAAAAAAGGACCTGATTTTTACTTGTTTTAGTCGTTTCTTCGTTTTTATTATATTAGTGTTATATTACATCCCTACTGTGTTATTCCTATGTATGTCTGCACTATCATGTATGTCTGCACTATGTTTGTACTTTCTTCTACACTGGAAGCTCCTGTCGTCAAGTCAAATTCCTTGTGTGTGTAAACATACTTGGTAATAAAGCTCTTCTGATTCTGATTCTGATTCTGATTCTTTACCTACTCACGTTATTGTCATCCACAGTCAGCGAATCATTTTTGAATGAAACGGGACATCAATCATACATATAATGTTCGCTTGATGTTCAGTCCTTCCACAGCTGCTTCTTTTGGCAGATGCAAATGAAACACAGTTTGTTTAATTCAAAGAGTTGCTGTTGCCAAAAGCGCAACTTTATTGCAGTCCACAAAAGCAAATAATCTTGACACATTTTTAGAGCTGCTTTGTGTCAAGTTTCACTCCACTGCTAGAAAACAACAGTCAGACGTTCCTAGATTTAACCACAGAGGCCTCAGCATGAAATATTTTGTGCATATCTGTGTGAAGATCGTAGAGCCTTGGACCTTTAGATGTATGTTAGTGATTAAAATGGATGGCCTCCGTGCCTCATTCTTCTTTGGATCAGCTTGGATTTTTAGTTGTTTAGTTTACACAAAAATAAATCTTTTTATTCATTCACTCACCTACATCCAAACCCTTATGACATTGACAGAAAATCTTTCTCTTCCCTACAATCAAATATGCTGCAAGAATGCTTAATGGTTAGAGAGTCGGACTCGTAACCCAAAGGTTGTGGGTTTGAGTCTCGTGCCGGCAGGGATTGTAGGTGGGGGGAGTGAATGTACAGCGCTCTCTCCCACCTTCAATACCACGACTGAGGTGCCCTTGAGCAAGGCACCGAACCCCCAACTGCTCCCCGGGCGCCGCAGCAAAAATGGCTGCCCACTGCTCCGGGTGTGTGTTCACGGTGTGTGTGTGTTCACTGCTGTGTATGTGCACTTTGGATGGGTTAAATGCAGAGCACTAATTCCGAGTATGGGTCACCATACTTGGCCACATGTCACGTCACTTATCTAATCTAGTTATGAAACCTTGGCACATGTTTATGAAACCAAGTGCATTTGGGTTCTGCAAATGCCATTTGGTAGCTATACTGTAGTACAATAGTTTTAGTGAATAACATTGTGAATTTTTTTATGTCATTTTGAGGTGAACTACTCTTTTAAGAGTGAAAAAGTCAAAAATATGCCTCCTGCAATTCAGCTTTCCATCATTTTTTTCACTTCAGCCGTTTGTTTTCCAACTACATGCCCTACATTCTTCCATTATGATTGCATTTTTCATGTTTCTTTGTGATTATTTCACTGTTTTGTTGATTTCCTGTCATGGACGCCATTGTGTTATGGTTTTTGTTTTGTTTTTTCCTTTTATGTGTTCCCTCTGTTCTGTTCTCTTTTGTTATGCTCTCCTTCCCTCCTTCCCTGAATTTCTGTGTGATTTCACTAAACATCCGTCTCCACCCTTTATTTCTGCTTTCACTCACCCCCTCCACTCACGCCACCCCACTGTCTGCACTCAAAGATGTAACCATCCCCTCCCCCCCTCCCACCTCACTGACCCGTGCCACTACTGACCGTCTAATGCCAGGCTCCAGAGGCAGCGCTGGTCCCACACCCTCCGCCCCCCGTGACGTTGTGGCCTCCCTGGTCTCCACCCGCTTCATCAAGCTGACCTGGCGCCTTCCTGCTGAACCGCATGGAGATGATGTCACCTACTCGGTCTACTACAGCCTGGAGGGCAATAACAGGCAGGGCATTTATATATGTGTCATACATACACACACACACATACAGTACTCTTCCAAAGTTTGGGGTCAGAAAGATTGTTTTTAACAAATTTTATTCAACAATGATGTATTAAATTAATACAAAATTATAGTAAACATTGTTGCAAAAGATTTAGATTTCAAATAAATGCTGTTCTTTTGCACTTTCTA